AGGACGAAGAACAACCGTCTACACCGACCACTGCAGCCTGAAATATTTGAAGACACAACCCAATCTTTCCAGGCGGCAGGTCCGGTGGATCGACTTCCTCGAGACACACTTCCACTACGACATCGTGTACAAGCCCGGCCACAAAAACAAAGCAGATGCCCTCAGCCGGCCTGCACACGTTGCCGCTATTCAGATCGAAGGGATGAATCCACTCCTCAAGGGACTCTTCACACACGGGTACGCCATCGACCCCAAAATTCCCTTGGCGGAAAAACGACATCTGCTACTGTGGAACAACGACATCGCGTACCGGAAAGGATCAACGAAGATCTAGGTACCCAATTACCCTCCATTGCGCCAGTTACTACTCGAAGAATACCAGGACGTCCTCTATGCCGGACACTTCGGTAGCAACAAGACGCTGACCGGTATTGCAAAACACTATTACTGGCCCCACTTGGCAGAAGATGTCCAGATATTCGTCACCTCGTGTGATACATGTCAGCGGATGAAGAGCAGCAAGCAGAAGAAAGCGGGCCACTACTGCAGCCTCTTCCTGTCCCAGAACAGCCATGGCAAGTGGTTACCCTGGACTTTATCATCGGGTCACTGCCTACCTCCAGCGGTCATGACGCAATCCTTGTCGTCATCGACAAGTTCTCCAAAATGGGACACTTCATCCCGACACACACGACAGCACGCACCGAGGAGACAGCACAACTATTCGTTCGCTACATCATCTCACAGCATGGCATTCCAACCACACTCATCTCCGACCGAGATCCCAAGTTCACCAGCAAGTTCTAGAAAGAACTCATGTCTCTGCTCGGGACCAAACTCGCCATGTCATCCGCTTACCATCCGCAGACAGACGGACAGACCGAGCGCCTCAACCAGATTGTAGAGCAACTCCTCCGCGCAGCCTGCAAGGACGACATCTCCAAATGGGACTTGCATCTGCCTACAACAATGCCACTCACGCCGCTACGGGTCAGACGCCGTTCTTCCTCTGTTACGGACGCCACCCACTTACACCACAGAAACCGACGCCATTAGCAACAGTCCAACCGGCACACGATTTTATCACAACCATACATCAGCTTTGGGATCGGACCCACAAGCGCCTCATCGACATTCAACAGCAACAGAAGCGCCAGGCCGATCGCCATCGCAACGACCACACCATCACCGTGGGAGACCAGGTGCTCCTTGACACCCGCAACCTTGACATCAGCCATCTCCCATCTAAACTTCGACCTCGCTTCTGCGGGCCTTTTCTCGTTGAAGCACATGTCACTCCTGTTACCTTCCGCTTACGCCTGCCAGCTACCTGGAAGACTCACAACGCCTTCCATGTCCAACTTTTGAAGCCCTATCGGGATCCAAACACGATCTTCGTCGGACGCCAACCGCCACCGCCGCCGCCCGTCCTCGTCCAGAATGAACCCGAGTACGAGGTCGAGTCTGTGCTTGCACACTGCCGTCGTCGGAATGGCACCGTGGAGCTTCTCATCCGTTGGAAGGGTTATGATCCTTCTGAGGATAGCTGGGTACCTGAGTCCGACATGGGTAACGCCCGTCGTCCTCTGCATGACTACCTTGTCAAGCAAGGTGTTACTTCTACCACCCAGCTTTGAGGGGGGGAAGTGTGAGAGTACGACCCCGTTGCACCACTGGTCCCTTTCCCTATTTTCTTTCCATTCCATTTCTCTTTTTATCTCATCTCATTTGGTTTCCTATTCCTCTTTTTCCATTAACCTTTGGTTTATCCTGCTATTATAATTATATCACCGACCAGGCTTGGGATGTACTGGTGCGCTATATCTAGTGTAATCTTGCCGTAATCCCTTAAAGCCAATAGCCTCGCGTGGCTATATGCAGGGTGATTCTATATTCTAGGAGGGTCTATTCCCTTGGGATAAGATATACCTGGTTACCTGATGTACTTTGGAAGTATAAAAGCGCCTTGTACTGATCGATAGTGCAATCTTTCCTCGAGTCATTCGATCCTGTGACACCTAGGCTGTGCGTCTTGCTTGGCGTGGTGCCGGAGAACCTCTTCAATTTTGATGAAACTTGCGTCTACTACAGCCTCCTGTCCGACCACACGTTCTACATCGACCCCACCCCGGGCAAGGAGGGTTGCAAGAACCGGCTCACTGACACGCTACTATGAATGCGGACGGCTCGAAGCTTTTCAAGCCGCTCATCATTCACAAGTTCAAGCGGCCCAGGTGCTTTGCAAAGCAAAAGTTCGACCCGGCCAAGTACTGCTACTGGCGCGCGAACAGCTCCGGATGGATGACGGCAGAGGTAAGCGCAGCACTCACCGTCGCTCAATGCTCCTCGTTTGCGGATTTTGTGCAATGGGCAATGCGGCGTGCTACAGAAATGCTAATAAATGCTGCGTACCCATCCATCCCATACGCCGTGCGTAGGTGTTAATGGCCTTCTTCGAGCACATCAACGCGTGCTGCATGGCGGGAGGGCGCCACATCGTCGTGATGCTAAACAACGCGTCGAGTCACCTGCTCCAGTCCCCTCTCGCCACTCAGCCGACATCTGTGGATTTCGGACGCGCGCTCTCTCACACGTGTACCTGCCGCCGAACACAACCCCATTTACTCGGCCCCTGGACCAAGGCCTCATCGCCGCTCTGAAGGCATGTTACAAGGAGGAGCTGCTTCAAGCCGTGCTCACCCAGTGGCAGATCCCAGGCGCCACAGTCGTCGTCATTCTAAAGTGGAAGCCCGAGTTGTGGCAAGTGGTCACATGGGTGTCGGATTCGTGCCTTGGCATCGATACCGCGACCATCCAAAAGTGCTTCTGGAGGACGCGCATGCTGCCCCCCAGCTGACACCCGCTGCTACCAATCCTCAGCGCCACTCTTGAAAAGCAGGAGCCCCGCATCAAGGATGAGAACGAGCCGGTGCAACAGATCATGAGCACCCTGCCCTTCGGCCCGGGTAACATGATCTCCACCGCTTGCTATGTCACCGCTTAGCGTGACGACGAGACGAGCGAGCTGAGTGGTGTGGATCCGCTCGAGTTGGAGCCGTTGGGCTCGGCCCAACGGGATGCGTGGTGGGCGAACGCGCCACCCCCCCCCCTCCCCCCCGGCTCCGAACGACTCGACATGGAACCGGCGCCATGTGTCGCGCATGGCGACAGAAATGCTAATCGGCTACGCCAAGTCCATTGGCTTGGCGCCGGGCGATCTCCGAGTGCTGTTCAACATCCGCGAACCGGCGGTTATCGATTGCCTGGAGTGCGCTCCCCCCCGCCTGGTCTCTAACCTTGCGCTCAGCGTAGTAGAGGAGTACTGCAATCACGTCCGGAGGGCGACTGCGGTTATGGCCGGATATCCCGACGAGGGCGAATGGATGACTTTTGGCGCGCAGCCCGCTACCTACCACGGGTACTAGGCTATTAATTTTGCGGAGCGGGGATTGCGGGATGTACTTTCATGGCGGCAAGTTTCGGCGTTGTGCGCTTATGCTCTGCGAGGGGTTTACAACATGGTGTCTGAAAGAGAGGATGTGGAGGATCACGAAGCCTTGTGCTCTGCCTACGGATTCTGAGGTGTGGGGTGTGTTGTGTTGTGTGGATGGGGTTTGAGTCGATGATCATAAGCATGGTTTCTAGCCTGAGTCAACTCTCGAGTCTTGGTTTATGTCGAGTTCTGTCTCTGTCGAATCAATGCTCCTTGTTGCTGGTTTACTCTCCTCATGCTTGTGAAATGCGAAATCAATTTTAGACCGGCTCTTGAAACGCGGAAATGAAACACATGTGGACATGCTTGCGACGTGACGACCTTTACTCAGTCGCTGCATACGCCAGTCAAGCCGCCCATGCACAAAACACCAGAAACAACGCCCCATTTCCTGGGGAAACCTCATAGTCCACGTTGCCCCTGCGGTACGGCCAATATTCGTTTAAAAGGAAATCTGCCGCGTTTCCCCCCGGGTGATATGGGAATATGATATGTATTGTCAATTTTCTCCAAAAACAAACGAAAACGCCCTACCCAAAACATTTGACAACGACTTCTCGGGTGTACCTACAAACTAGCCTGTCCCAAGAGTACACCTCTAAGGAATTAGCAATTCCTTTCTGAGGCTTGCTACAGGGCGTACGACTCGAACAGTCCCGAACCATCGCCTGGGTTCCAGACCTTTCAGTTCGAGTCTCCTGGGCCTTTCCGGACCTCGCTACGAGACATCGAGGCCCTTCGATACTTTTCCCGAACCTTCAGATCCTACGTCCAGGATCACCCTAGGCTTTCTATATATTGAATTGTCTTTCATTTTATTGCCATTCACTCGTTCACAATTTCGCCATTGCCCTCCGCGCTATTCGGCAGTCCCATTCATAACAACGCCGAACAGATGCTGTAACAAGACACAACCAGAAGCGATTTTTGTTCAGAATATAACGGGGGCGTATTATTTGAGTGCCTTTGCATGCACGTCCCGTATCGGGTCAAGGAACACGCGAGGCGTTGGGCCACTGCTGTGGGCTATTGGGCAACGGTTGGGGGTGGGGTGGGCGGGCCTGCACAATGGCTGGGAGTACTGCCCGCGTGTCAGCCCCGTGTTACAGCCCGTGTCAGCAAGTTTCCCAGATGGTCCGCATTCCAGCTTGCTGCATTCACCAAGGCGAGCCCAAGTCAACCTGTTTGGTGGACCACCAGAGCGGCCAGCAAAAATCACCGAACCAGTTGAGCAATATGACCCAACCAGTCAAACCACCAGCTAGCCCAATCATAACAAACCAAACCTAACCCAATCAAACCCAAACCAAGAGCCATACATAGAACCACCAATCACTGGTTTCTTCTGATCGCCTGTTGGCCAGGCAACCTGGCAGGCTTGCTGCTGCTTTGTTCACCTCACCTCACCACACCACACCAGTCACCCAAACCGCTGACCAGGCCACATCCGCACAACGACACATCGACGCACAGCGGACACTTTTCGTTCCACATTTTTGCATCTCATTTCTCTCCAGAGCGTTTGCACATCTTTATAATCAGCCGCATTAGTCTCTTCCTTTCCTACCACCCACCGAAACACGACAGAACCCGTCGATCTTCTCCAGATTACATTCGCTTCCCTTCCTGCCATGGCGCCTAACCCACGCGATGTTGCCAGTGCCCGCCGACGCGGCTCAGCGTTCTTGGCGCTCGTCCTCGCGGCCACCTGCCTCGTGCCGTCGTCGAGAGCTCAGGGGCCGGATGAGGGGCCGCCGCCGCCCGCTCCTGTTCCATTGGTCCCGGCGCAAGGTACGCTCGACGAAAAAAGATGCGAAAGATGTATTCCGTCCGTCGCTCAAAGGCAGAGTGTGGTCTTTCGTATGAACGCACAAGAGAAGAATCATGAGGGGGTGGGGTGGAAGTTATTTTCAACATTTTGCAATCGAGACAAGGTCTATTCGCATCTTCTGGTGCAACATTTCTTTTTTCTTTTTTCCCGGTCAGTCGCCTCGGATCCCCCTCGCTTCCATCGTGCGTCACACTGTCTTCAGCACGTTTAGTGCGTATGGCTAGGCCTTACGCCGGTGGCAGGCGGTAAGGTACGCCGCGCCCACGGACTGCCGGCCTGAAGGATGGACAAACGCTGTATTTACGGGGCAAGGCAAAGAGCATGCGCGACACGCGTGTGTGACAAGCATGTGCGACAAGCATGTGCGACTACCACATGCGAGTGGGCCAAAGTCCCTTTTCCAGTCGTCTCCTCTAAAGACCGGGTCAAAACTCACGAGTACGAGCCACGCCAACAAATGGGTTCTGCCAGATGATGGTAGGGTAGTAGCATTGCGGTCTGCTATAGTCGTGCCAAACCGCCCCGTGCTCCCAACCTCGCGGGCCGTGCCGGGCTCCTTGTGTGCTATCGGATTGAGCGCGCGTTGCGGGGACTCGGGAACCCGTCGCGCCGCGCCATGGCATGACATGGGCTGGGCTGTATCCTTGTGGGTGCGCGCGCGGGGTGCCGTTGGGGCATGGCTGGCTTGCTCTCCATGGGGAGGTGGGGGGGTGGTAGCCGGGAGTGGCCAGGGAGGGACGTGCCGGAAGTGGCCGATGCTGAATGCCATCTCTCTCCCCCACCTCTTCCTTCCATTCCCTTCTCCCTCTCCTCCTCCCTTCTCCTCCCCATCCCCTTCTCTCCCCTTCTCTCCCCTTCCCTCCCCCACCTCCCCTTCCCTCCCCTCATCTCTCTCTCCCGCTCTCCCCGTCCCCCTTAATACCCCCTTTCCAACCGCGCTGCTCTCTCTCTCTCTTCCCCCCGAGGGAACACCACTTGGTGGTAGTTTTAGCCATACGTGGCAGCGGGCTTGTCAAACACTTATCGTTTGGTAGAGATAAATTCTTGCTCTGAAAACTCTCTTGAATTCGTAGGGCATAAAGTGATGGTAACTAGGATCGGCAGGTGGCTGCCTTCATCAGACCATACAAAAAGAGCAAATGAGCAAGGCTAAATAGGCAGGAGCTCGCGATTATCCCAAGGCCAAAATGCGGCTCGAGGGAATTCTTGGAGTCCGAAACCTAGGCTAGAAAAAATAGAATAAGTGTAGCTACACCTAACATTTTCTAGCTGAAACTAAAAAGTCCCCTGTACGCTTTGGAAGCTTCCACGCGATAATAGCACGCCGATCTTCGAATGTCTCGTGTGACAATATCCGTAGGTGATTTTTGAGTCGACTAAAAAATAATGCCCCCTTTCCAACCGCGCTGCTCTCTCTCTCTCTATCTTTCCCCCCCCCCCCCTTCCCCCCCCCCCTTTTCCCCCCTACCAATCCCCACCGCCTTCCCTCCGCACGTCCCGCCCGCCTCGTCGCCGCCAGCCAAGATACTGCAGGCGATATCCAAGGCGCTGAGCATCAAGCCGCCCATCCCTGGGTGGACCGACAAGGCGCCCATGTGCGCGCCGCCGCCCGGCGGCTTTCCTGACACAGCCCTGCGCATCTTCTGCGACCCAGCTGGGAAGATCGTCATGCTGTCAGTGCCGCCACGCCGCCTCTCCTCCTCGCTTGCTCATCCGTCCCTTCACAACCCACTCATCATACTCTCCCGAAACCTCCTCATCAATCCCTCCACAACCCACTCATCAAACATTCACAACCCAATCATCAAACCCTCCTGAAACCCACTCATGCATCCCTCCACTCCGCCACTCGCACATTCCCATCCCAACAACGCATGCTTCCTAGCAGTCCTTTGAGGCGCCAGGCCCCATAACAGCTTCCCTCCCTCTCTCTCTTCGCCCTCATTCCTCTCCCGCTCTTTCTCCCTCCCTCCCCATCCGCCCGTCACTGCATGTGTGCGTGTGTGTGTGTGTGTGTGTGTGTGCGTGTCTGTGTCCGGGTGTGCATGCGTGTGTGCGTGCATGTGCGCATGCGCGTGTGCGAAGGAGTGTGTGCGTGCGTGCGTGTGTGCATGTATGTGTGTGTGTGTGTGCATACGTGCGTGCGTGCGTTTGTGTGTGCGCGCATGTGAGTATGTGTGTGCATGTGTGTGTGTGTGTGTGTGTGTGTGTGTGTGTGTGTGTGCGTGTGCACGCGTGCGTGCGTGCGTGCGTGCATGTGTGTGTGTTTGCGTGCATGCATGTGTGTGCGTGCATGTGCGTCTGTGTGTGTGCATGTGTGTGTGCGTGTGTGTGGGGGCGTGTGTGTGTGCATGCGTGCATGCGTGTGTGTGTGTGCGCGCTGCAGTGATCTGCAGGACTATAAGCTCTCAGGGCCCATCCCCACGGAAATCAGCGCCATCACCAGTCTTCAGCAACTGTCAGCCCGCCTGCTCTGCCCCCCTGCTGCCTCGCATCCTTCTCTTCTCCTTCCTGCCCTCCTGCCTCCTCGCCTCGCAAACACAGCCTGCGTCGTGCTAGCTTTCACAATCCTCTTGTTTTTCCCTTTTGCTCTTGTCGGTCGGCCTCGTGTTAGTCCCTCTTTCATCTCCAAATCGGCTCTCGTATCTCAGTCCCTCGCTTTCATGTGTTCCGTGTCGTGGCTGTGGATGGATAGGAGTCATTTATTAGAGTTCTAAGAAATGGCTGCAGATAGAGGAAGCCCCTGGCGCTTTAGGCAGGAGAGGTGGGACTGGGCCAGTGGCACGCGTCCCGTCTCCCACAACGCTTACACGACCCCCTCCCTCCCTCCTTCCCTCCCTTTTGCCCTGTTTATGCATGCCCCCTGTACACGTGCATGCTTGCGTGCGTGCGTGCATGTGTGTGTGTATGTGTGTGTGTGTGTGTGTGTGTGTGTGTGTGTGTGTGTGTGTGTGTGTGTGAGCGTGCACGCACGCGAGTGCATTTCTTTGGGTGTGTGCATGTGTTTGTGTACATGTGCACCTGTGGTGCACGTGTGCGCGTGTGGTGCACGGGTGCATTTCTATGGTGTGTGCGTGTGCGCCTGTGGTGCGCTTGTGGTGCGCTGACGAGGCAATCACCACCATCAGCTTTCTGAGCACCAACAACTTCACTGGCAGCATCCCCCCCTCCTTCTCCCAGCTCACCAACCTCAGCGTCCTGTGAGCCAACCACACACCTCCCTCACTCTCCCCTTCCCTCCCTCAGGCTCTCCTCTTACACACCACATCCTCATCTCTTCTCCATCCACGTCTCCTCTCCGCTCGTCCTATCCCCCATACAAGCATCGCCATCTCTCAACCACTTGTGCAATTCCCTAAAGCCCTCTCTACTTTTCACTCCTCTCCTCACCCCTTGCTCACCCATTCCACACACATGACCCCCAAATTCTGCCTCTTTTTTTCCCCATACTCCTCCCCTCTCCCTCACTCCCCCTGCCCCCCCCCTCCTCCTTTCCCCCACCCCCCAGGGCAGCAGCGGGCAACAAGCTCTCTGGTGACGTGGCGCTCTCCATCTCCGATGGCCTCATTAAGAAGCTGCCGCATCTCGCCGCCCTGTGAGTGGGGCAGGGCACAGCACAGCACAGCCCAGCACAGCACAGCGCAGCGCAGCACAGCACAGCACAGCACAGCGCAGCAAAGCACAGCGCAGCGCAGCACAGCACAGCACAGCACAGCACAGCACAGCTCAGCTCAGCGCAGCACAGCGCAGCGCAGAGCAGCGTAGCACAGCACAGCGCAGCGCAGCACAGCACAGCACAGCATCGCACGTCAAGGCACCCATTTCCGCGCACCCCCCTCTGAAGAGGAGCACCCAAGGGGCTTGCAGGAACTGTGCTGCCTCAGTTTGCTTGCCTTTTGAGTCGACTCAATAGCTGCCTCATTCTGTGTGCCTCAATTTGCCTGCCTCATTTGGCCGTGCTTTAAGTTGTCCTTGCCAATAGGCGGCAGGTTTTGTGACAAGGTTTAGGTGTACAACATTTAGCTGCCTGCCTGTTTCCCTCGCTCACTCCTCCTTGCCTCCCTCTTTTCCTCCTCCTCCTCCTCCTCCTCCTCCGCGTCCCCCCAATCCTCTTATCCGTCTCTGTCCACCCTTCCTCCATCTCCCCCCACCTTCTCCCAACAGCGATATCAGCAGCAACGGCTTCACTGGCAGCATTCCTCCCAGCCTCAGCTCGCTCACTGCCCTCACACAGCTGTACGCGTGCCATGCCATGCCATGCCATGCGGTCACTACATGCCATCATGCGATGCAGTCAGTGTCATGCAACAATTTCACGTTGTTCTGTTTCCACCACAACACCCTGTCCGGCCTCAACCCTAAACGCTCATCTCACGTGCTGCTATCGTCTATGCTCACCATCGCACTCCCCATGAGGCACGACACTTCTGTTCCATTTCATTCTGTGCTGGCATGGGGATGTCATCGTGGCACTTCTGGCATGCCATGGCATGGCATGGCATGCCATGGCATGACTCATATGGCATGGCAGGTGGCTGGCCCACAACCAGTTGTCTGGGCCCATTCCAGACTCCCTCGGCAAGCTCTTGCAGCTCCGGTCTCTGTAAGCCCTGGTCTCTTCTCTTCTCTCCTCTCCTCTCCTCTCCTCTCCTCTCCCCTCCTCTCCTCTCCTCTCCCCTCCTCTCCCCTCCTCTCCTCTCCCCTCCTCCCATCTCTCCTCTCCTCTCCTCTCCCTGTTGGACCCCTCTTTCCACCAACCTCCATGTCCCTCTGGGTGTGTTTTGACTTGCCCCTTCTGTTCTGGCTCCTAATGCTACGTTTACTGCCACTGTTATAGCTACAGCAAACGTTACCATTAATATCGTCCCTTTTTTTGTTCTTTTTTCTTTTCTCGACAATCGTTTTGGCAAGTTCTTTTTGAAATGTTTCCCTCTCGCTGCGCCTGGGCATGGCATGCCTTGGAATGTTTCGCTCGCACTACTCCCTGGCACGGCCCGGCCATGTTGTTGAACAGAACAGACGCCACGTTGCATGCATCCCTGCCAGCCACCCAGCTGCCACTACCGCCTTGTAGCTTCCCTCACACCGCGTGGTTCTGACTGGGCACTGGATACTGGGTACTGTTCTGTCTCTTCCGTCTCCGTTCTGTTTCACTGGTCGTTCTCACCGGTTGGTCTCACCGTTTTGCTCTCCGTTCTGTTCACTGCAAGACGAAGCACCTGCAGCGTTTCCCACCCCCACCCACCTGCTACTGCCACACCATTTGCCCTTCCACCCCCACCCTCTCCCGTGCGTGTGTGCGTGTGTGCGAGCAGCATGCTGAATGGCAACAAGCTCAACGGCTCCATCCCTGCCACGCTGGGCGCTCTCACCAACCTCAGAGATCTGTGAGAGCAATGGGGAAGGGTGAGTGGCGTGGGGAGGGGTGAGTGGCGTGGTGAGAGAGGGCAGTGGAGTGGGAGTGGGGTGAGTGGAACGAGGGAGGGGAGAGCAGAGTGGAAGAGGTTAGTTGAGCGAGCGAGCAGTGTGAGGCCAGTGGCTGGGGGAGCACAGCGAGCCGGCTGGGTTGGGAGCAGAGATGCTGCTGTATGAAATGCGTGCCAATTGTTTCCTACATGAAATTAAGTCCTCCAGAATTCTTGCTCTTTTACTCTCCCTGTTCTTCTCTCGCTCTCTCTTTCACTCACTCGTGTTTGTGTCTCTGTTTGTGTGTGTGTGCGCGTGTGCATGTGCATGAACGTGTGCGTGTGTGTGTGAGTGCGTGCGTGCGTGTGTGTGTGTGCGTGCATCTCCCGCCCAAGGCAGTGAGTTGAATGACACCAGTCTGTCTGGAGTCATCCCTCCCACCCTTGGCAACCTCAGTCAGCTCGCTCAGTGGTGCGCCATGCCATGCCATGCCATGCCATGCCATGCCATGCCATGCCTTGCCTTTAAAGCCTTGTTGCACCACTCACTCCCTTGTTACCCCACGCCCCCAACCCACTCAGTGCTCTCGTCCCCCACGTCTACCGTCCACCTTCCACACTCCAACTTTCTAGTTCACAGCAACCATTCCTCATTTCGCACTTCATTCCTCCCTCCACCCCTCCCCTTCTCCTCCCCTTCTTCTCCCCTCTTCCCCTCACCCCCCCCCCCCCTCCTCCCTTTCATCCTCCTCCTGCCCCCAGGGGTGCGGACAACACTGGGCTGCAGTGCCCCGGCAACGGCAGCAGCTGTGGCGGCGTGAAGCAGCATGCGTCCACCACCTTCTGCCTTGACATCTGCCCCTCCTTCTGCACCACCTGCACACCCGCCGACTGTAAGCCTGCACACCCGCCGACTGTAAGCCTGCACACCCGCCGACTGTAAGCCTGCACACCCGCCGACTGTAAGCCTGCACACCCGCCGACTGTAAGCCTGCACACCCGCCGACTGTAAGCCTGCCCGACTGTAAGCCTGCACACCCGCCGACTGTAAGCCTGCACACCCGCCGACTGTAAGCCTGCACACCCGCCGACTGTAAGCCTGCACACCCGCCGACTGTAAGCCTGCACACCTGCCGACTGTAAGCCTGCACTAAGCCTGCACGCCCGCCAACTGTAAGCCTGCTTGCCTGCTGACTGTAAGCCTGCTTGCTGCTTTGAGCCCACATGAGGCCTCAGGCTGCTTACTACACCCTTAAAGCCCGACTGACAGGTTGCATATTGACACTGTTGAGGTAGGTGCGTCGGCAGCAGATGATTGGCTGACGAGCCATTTTGGGCGAATTTTATGGCGAAGGTTTGTGTTCACTAAGGTACCTGCTTGCGTGTGAGTGCCTCGAGGGTTGGAAATTTGGCAGGAGTGCCAAGTTTCGTGCCTCTCATTTGGCAGGGGCTCAACTCGGCAGCAGCGCCAAGTTTCGCTCCTGCCTTGAAACTTTTTTATCTGATGCTTGGCTGGCACCCCGCTTTCTACCCCCGACAAGTTTACAACTGAAATCCGTTCAGTTTCCCAAAAAAACGTGCAACAGTGGCAGTGTATTCGCACGTTTACGCCTCGAAATTGTCTAACGCGTGGGTAATTACTTAATACTCGTAGCTCTGTTTCCTGCCCTCGGGACTTACATACTGCCAAGCTTGTCGAGGGTTCAGCTTGAGCCAGCTTGGCCAACTCAGACATTTCAGCGATTGCTTCCCTGTAACAGGTGCTCAAGATGATGCATCTTGAGCTGAACTGACTTGCAACCTGCTGGTCTGGGCTTTAAAGCAAGAGGCTGAAGTTGTGAAGGCAGGGCCACCAACGTGAAGAGACCATATCACCGTGGAGTCATTTTTTAGAATTCTCCAAAATGACTCAGCTGTGACTCTTGTTGGAAAACAAAGAGGACATATCACTGTTCATACCCTGACTGGAGCGGGGGAGGCCTTTCAGATTTTGATCCCAAACCTGATTGGTTCCCGCTAATATGGGAATCGCCCAGCGGAACCTGCGACGCGCTTAAGTTGCACGACAAATGCATTGTGAGGGGTTGCAGGCCTGGGATCGAGTTGGGCCCCCAATGTGAGTCAGGTTGGGCCATGGTTCACTAATTGGCAGGTTGCACCACCCGAGATCACGCGGGAGGTGCTCTGCGCACGACACATTGCAATTTGCAAACACACATCCTGTGGCGTGGTGAGTAATGCGGGTCACTGCCGTGTCCCAAAAGAAAGCATACGCTCAACGAGTTTCAAATCGACACAAATCCCACGCCACTAGTTCAAGTCTGGCTGATGTTGATGTTGATGTTGGGGGTAACATAATAACCTCTCGTTTCAACACGTGTAGTACCAAGGACACCGAATTTGACAGTGTCCTGATGAGTGCTAGGATGTGGTAACTCTTCCTGCTTCCTCTCCAGCCGATCGCTTGTCATATCAGCCATGGCTCGCATACTTGCTTGTGAACACCATGGTCTCTCCTGCCCCTCTCTGTGCATCGCCTTGGACATGCTTCTCCAGTGGCCGCGGCTCCTCTCGTCCTGCAGCAGCCGGCCCCCACTGGGGCGACACCAGCCAACAAGACCAGCACCCGAGTGTCGCCTGCCCTGGCGTCTGCCGCATGGGCCGTGCTGGCGGCCGTGCTGCCTGTGGCACTTGTCTAGGGTACTCGTCGTAACCCATGAGTCATGAGGCACTCGTGATATTCAGTGCGCTGACAGGGTTGCTGGCAGACGTGTGAAGCTGCCGAAGGGGGGATGGTGGTGTGTACGGATCTGATGATGCAGCTGCCGGTGGTTGCTTGTGTGGCTGTGTAGTCACGTGGTTTGTGATGTGAGTCACTTTCTTGCTTTGCCTAAGCTGTGGATGCAGATGCGAAGCGACCTCAAATAGGTGTTGGGTTTAGAGCCACATGTGTGCATGCTAAGGTTGTTATTTTCAAGTGTGCTTGTAGGCTGTGTTAGCTGTTTGACATGTGTTCGTGTATTGGAATTACATTTGTGGGGAACCCAGGCCTGTCGTTATCAGGGTATTTTACCCTGATTCCCTGATTTCACAGGGTATTTTTTTGGCCAACCCTTAATTTTCAGGGTTGGGCTTTTTTTAACCCTAACCTCTTCAGGGTTGTGTGTCTGTGAACACTGAGAATTTCAGGGTTTCAGAACACAGAGTTTTCAGGGAGTAATGCGTACGAACCCTGAGTGCGACATCCATGTGGCTCACAATGCGGAAATTTAGGCGAAGTCCCCAATCTCAGAGACATTCCCCCCCCCCCCACGCAACAACCTACGAAAATTGGTGAAGTCCTCAAACATTCCCTCACACACCAAGCAACCCACAAAAATCGGCTAAGTCATGTGTCGTACAGACATCCCCCCTACACACTAACAACAACCCACAAAAATTAGCTAAGTCTATGAAAATGTAACGGTAAAGATCGATTGCGATCGTTTCGACATACTTAAACCGTTAGATGGTCACATTGATCAACGCCCAAGATCTCCCAGCCGGGGCGCTGCTAGGGCGCGAATTTTCTCCGACCGCCCTATTACCCAGCTTCCCCCCTCCAATCCACTTCGATTCCTCCCTCCCCTCCATTTTCGCTCCCCCCACTCCCCCTCCGTTTCGTTTCCCCCCTCCCCTCCATTTCGATTCCCCCATCTCCCCTCCGTTTCGCCCCTCGCATCTTGGTTTTGATTCCCTCCCCCTTTCTTCCTTGGTTTCGACTCCCCCTCCCCTCCGTTTCGATCCCCCCTTCCCCTCCGTTTCGATCCCCCCTTCCCCTCCGTTTCGATCCCCCCTTCCCCTCCGTTTCGATCCCCCCTTCCCCTACGTTTCGATCCCCCCTTCCCCTCCGTTTCGACCCCCCCTTCCCCTCCGTTTCGATCCCCCCTTCCCCTCCGTTTCGCTTCTCCCATTCCTCGACTGTATTTCGAACTTCCCCCACCCCCCAACCCCCACTTTTTCCCTCCCCGTTTCGCTTCCTCTCTTCCCCTATGTTTCCATCCTCCCCCTTCCCCTCCGTTTCGCTCTCCCCCTCCCCTCGGTTTGATTCCCTCCCCTTTTCCCCCCCATTTTTTATTCCCCCCTCGTGTTGAAGGCAACTCTGAACGCGCTCGGTGAACCCTGGGATTTTCAGGGTTCCAGATTTCTGAACCCTTACAAATCAGGATAGGCAATTGTTGAAACCTGAGCCCTCAGGGTAAACTTTTTTTTTTATTCGACAGCTCAGGGGGGGTTTTTTTGAAACGTCAGGCCTGGGGGTACCGTATGTTATCAAACGAATTAAAGCGAAAGGCTATTGTTGGGCTGAGAAAAGCCCTTAGGATGTTTCCAGAGACAAGGTGTTTGAGAAGTGCAGCGGAAGTGTTGAGTAGTTGAACCCTTGCACTAGTATAAGAGAGCAAGTGATTGACTAAAAGAAACAAGCATCCAGCAATATATAGAAAATAGGAAAGTAAAGCAGTTGTAGAATACAGTTGAAGGAACAGTTATCGAGTTGCACAGCGACTCGATTGTCGGTTCGGTTTGTCAAACACTTGTATCGCACATGTTTGTATAGACTGTATAGGGTAATCTCTTAGAGAGTACAACCCTTAGACATATATCATTGTACCATTCTTCCCTAGTCAATTCAATCATTCAGCTCTTACTCTAAGATGGTATCAGAGCATAGGTTAGAATCCCCCACCTACCGCTTCCGCCCGTACCCTAGCTAGGCCCCGCCGCGCCCCCCCCCCCCCCCCCCCTGGGCCCCGTCACGCCTCCTAGCCCCGTCGCGCCCCTCCTGGGCCCGTCGCGCCTCCTAGCCCCGTCGCGCCCCCCCCTGGGCCTCGTTGCGCCTCCTAGCCCCGTCGCGCCCCCCCCCGGGCCCCGTCGCGCCTCCTAGCCCCGTCGCGCCCCCCCCTGGGCCCCGTCGTGCCTCCTAGCCCCGTCGCGCCCCTCCTGGGCCCTGACGAGCCTCCTGGCCCCTTCGCGCCCCTCCTGGGCCCCGTCCCGCCTCCTGGCCCCGTCGCGCCCCTCCTGGACCCCGTCGCGCCTCCTGGCCCCGTCGCGCCCCTCCTAGGCCCCGTCGCGCCCTGCCTGGCCCCGTCGCGCCCTGCCTGGCCCTGCCGCGCCTGCCTGGCCCCGCCGCGTTTGCCTGGCCCCGCCGCGCCTGCCTGGCCCCGCCGTGCCTGCCTGGCCCTACCGCGCTTGCCTGGCCTCGCCGCGCTCATCCTAGCCGGCCCGGCGCCCGCCGCTACCGGCCCTCGCACCCGTTCTGCCGGCCCCTACGTGCGCACCCTACACGTCGACCTCCGGCCCCGAGCTCCCTTCCAGCTGGACTGCCGCCGATCTGCGTGCGGCCCGCTCTTCGTGCCTGCTACTGCACTGCACCCTGCCTGGTACGGTTCTTCATCATTTTTCACTGCACTGCACCGCACTGCACTGTACTGCACCGCCCTACACTGCACTGCACCGCACTGCACCGTACTGCACCGCACTACATCGCGCTGCACCGCACTGCACCTCACTGTACCGCACTGCACTGCCTCAGCTGGCCCTGCCCTCCACTATTCCTGATGGCGGCGGAGCTTCGCTAGGATGCTGAGGGCTAGCCTCTGGAGTTCGAGGCGTGGCTAGCCGACCTCCGCCACCACCTCACTGGTCAGCGGCAGGATGGCCACCCGCTCTCGGCCCACCTTGACGGTACGCTTCCTTGCCCAGACCCCCCTGCTGTGCTGCTCGCTGACCCCACCTCTGCTGAGCGCGAGTCTACTACGGCCGCTGCCCTCGCTCGCTCTGTCTGGCTTTCCCGCGACGCTGTTGCACAGCTTGCCATTAGCAATGCCCCCCCCCTGTCTGAGCGCCCTCGCTTTAGGTCTATCACCACCGCCCAGGCTTTCTTAGATGCTGTCATCCGGCGCTATTCCGCCCCCCTTGCTGCCTTGGTGGGCCGCCTGATCCTCCCTCTCCTCTTCCCTGACCTTGCGTCCTTCCCCACTGTCGCTGACCTGGCTGCCCACCTGCGCACGATAGATGAGACCTGGCGCGCTGCCTGCACTGACGCACAGCTTAGAGCCCACCAGCCGCCCCTTACCTCTACCCTCTACCTGCTTGCCACCCGCCTCCCTGACCGCCTTGCCGCTGCTCGTGACCACTTCCTTAGCGTTCACCCCGGTGACCTCACCCTCACAGACTTTGTAGACACCCTGACTGTTATTGAGACCCGCCACCGCTCTATCGCCCAGGTGAGCGGTACTGTGCCGGTCCCTATCTTTCAGGGTTGTGCCCCCGCTCAGTGCACCTTCTCCGATGGTTCTGCTGCTGTGGCTGAAGCCGCCGCTGCAGCGCAGTTCCGTTCGGGGAAGGGCCGCCGCCCCGAGGCTGGGCGCAGCGGAGGAGGTGGGAGTGCAGGTGGAGGTGGAGGAGTCGGGTCGTCTGGTGGTGGAGCGAACGAGGGGACCCTGCCCGGTCCAGCTGAGCAGCCGCCCCAGCAGCAGCAGTAGCTGCAGCAGCCGCACCAGCCGCAGCAGCCACAGCAGACGAGGCAGGCGAGTGCCCTCCCGCCCGGGTGGCCTGGCGCTGGTGGTGGTCGTGCGCGTGGTGGTGTGCCGGGTGGCGGTTCAGGAGGCGTGCGCTATCAGTACCAGATCCAGACCGGTCCTCGCCGCGGCTTTGTTTGCGGTAAGATCGGTCACGTCACTGCCCGCTGTTTTCGTCGCCTGGACGACCTGTTTCGTCAGCGCTTCGGCCCGTCGCCTGACCTCCCGGACTGGCACATGTTGCTTAGTCGTAGAGTTCAGATTTTTGACATGGACATGGATGCCATTGTTTGTGCCCTGCATGTGATGTATGCTGATGACTCTAGTGTGCTCCCCTCTTATTACTCCTTGTCGCCTAGTGTAGGTGTGCCTAGCTTAGCTTCCCCTGCTGCGTCAGGCGTAGGGGCTCCTGCTTTGTTTAGCCTTGGTGCTTCCACCATCGCCCCGTCGCCGGACGCCACTGCTTCACTTTCCTTCACCTTGGACTCTGGCGCTTCCCGGTGTTTCTTCCGCGACTCGACTACATTGACGCCGCTTCCTGCTCCTGCTGTCGTTTCTCTTGCTGACCCCTCCAGCGGTCCCGTCATCGCCCGCAGTTCCACCACCCTTCCCTGTCCGGCGGTTCCTTCGGGCTCTCTTACAGGTCTGCATATCCCCTCGTTCTCCAGGAACCTAGTTGGTGTCGGTTGTCTTCAGGACCTTGACGTCACCACTACGTTCCCTGGTCACGAGCGGTATGCTGTCTGTACCGAGGCCGCCACTGGTGCCCCCCTGTCCACGTTCCCCCGGGACCCGGTGTCCGGCCTGTTCACCCTGGACACCGCGAACCCCCCGGCTGGGCCCCCCCCTCAGGTGGCTGCGTCTTCCCAGGTTGCTGCTGCCTGCTCCTGTCGGTCCCTCACTCACCCGTCTCTTCTGTGGCACCACCGCTTAGGTCACCCTGCGCTCCCGGGTCTGCGTCACATGTCTCAGCATGGTCTCGTCCTTGGTCTCCCCGGTTTGTTTCCCGCTTTTCCCTCCTCCCCTGCCCCACTGTGCACGCCTTGTGTCGAGGGTCGGCTTCGCCGTGCCCCTCACTCCTCCTCGTTTTCCCCTACCGCTGCGCCGCTGCAGACCCTGCACATGGACGTCTGGGGTCCCGCCCCCGTCCATGGGCCGCGTCGAGAGCGCTACTTCCTAGTCTTGTCGACGACTTCACTCGCTACACCACAGTCTTTCCCCTGGAGCGGAAGGCCGACGTTCCTGACGCCCTCATCCCCTGGCTTGTCTCTGCCCGTGTCCACCGAGGTCTCCCTGTCTTGCGTCTTCACTCCGACCGTGGTGGCGAGTTTGCCTCAGGTGTCCTTGGTCGCTTCTGTCGTGCGGAGGGCATCACCCAGACGTTCACCCTGCCGGAATCCTCACAGCAGAATGGGGTCGCTGAGCGACGCATCGGTTTGGTCATGGAGGTGGCTCGCACCTCCATGATCCATGCCGGTGCACCCCATTTTCTGTGGCCGTTCGCCGTGCGCTACGCTACTCACTTGCTTAACCTGTGGCCGCACCCCCAGCGGCCGCAGGTTTCGC